GGGGGGGGGGGGGGCGCCCCACTCACAAGCAGGCGCGTAACAGCGGTCGGGGGTGGGGCGGCAAAGGTAATAATTTTCCCGGTTAGTAATTTATGACTTGGTGTGATACCCCCACCCCCATATAGAAAACAAAACGACATAGGGCTTATTTTATTATTAATATAGGGCACACACGTGTGTTTGAAACTATAATAATAATAAGTATTTTCATCGTGGTTTTATTTATTACAATCATAGGCCTATTCTTTACCATCATTACACATGAGGCCCTTCTTTTAGGTAAAACGATGTATCTTAAATTTTCTTTCTCAAGGTTGGGACTATTATGTTTTTAAATAACTTAGAAGGCAAAGGAGGGCAAGCACAAGCTTTAACCCTAAGAAATGTGCGCGAAGCGCGCTAAAATTCTTTGTGTTTTTAATTCTAATTTCGTCGGAATTGATCAAAACTCCCTAAATGTGCAATTTTTAGAGAAAATTTGCCTACCTCAACAATAAATGCTCTTATGTTATATATGGACAAACTCGTTTTTTAAAACTGAATATAAGCATTTTCCATATGGCTTTATTTATTACAAACAAATTCTTTCAACATCATTACACATTGAGGCCCTTCTCTTAGGTAAAACGATCTATCTTAAATTTTCTTTCTTGAGTTTGGGACTATGTGTTATAACTTAGAAGGCAAAGGAGAGCAAGCACAAGCTTTAACATGAAGAAATGCGCGCTTAGCGCGCAAAAAAAAATCTGTTTTTTTTAAATTCTAATTTCGTCGGAATTGATCAAAACTCCCTAAAATGTGCAATATTTAGAGGAAATTGGCCTACCTCAACAAAATATGCGATTTAAAATTTGAGATTTTCAGGAACTTTCCCGGGTGAAAAGGGCGTTCAATGGGGAAAGATTTTCCACTGATGGATATTTTCCCCTTGTCCCCGGTGGTTACGCCACTGCGGAGAATACCTGGCGGCTTAGATCAAATGCGATATGGACACTTTTTGAAGTGGAGAAGGGGTTCAGGCAGGGGTATTGTGATATCTGTTCATTATATCTTCCTTTTTATTCTTGTCTTTATTTTTCTCTTCTCCTTTTCTTTTCCTTTTTCTTTCCCCTTCTTTCTCTTTCCCTCCCTCTCCCCTCTTTCTTTTCTCTTCTTACCCAGCCCGTTACGACGGCTTGGTCAGTCCGGTAAAAACCGACATTCTCCCCCCGGCCCCCTGCCTGTTACGCCACTGCTTATAAGATGAATGGGAATATGAATCATGCAGATCTGGAATCAAATCTAGGTGGTGGAGTCAACATTCCTCCCCCGGGAAAATTTTGATTTCTAGATGGCGGGAAATGACCTTTCTCGACTTTTGATCTAGGTGTTTAATGACTTTGTTCTTCAAAATTCCAGGTTTTCCCCCTCATGATCGAAAACGGTAAGGTAAACTTTCTCATTACAGTAAATAGGCCTGTTATGTGTGTATACATACATTTAAAAAAATTGAGTAGTTGCATACGATTTTTTCCATGAGATGAATCCCAAAAAGAAAGGAGGGTCCGGGGGTTCTTCCCCAGGAAAATTTTGATTCCTAGAAGGCGGGAAATGAGATTTCCCGACTTCTGATGTGTCTTTTAAATTAAAGTCATTAAAAAATACTTAAGAAGTCGGGAAATCTCCTTGTCCACCATTTATAAATCAACATTTTTCCGGGAAGAACTGACCTCCCTTTCTCTGGGTTCATTGATTTATTATAATAATTTTCAAGAGGGGAACACCTTGAATTTTGAAGAACTTAAAAGTAATTAAGTTCTTCAAAATTCAAGGTTTTTCACTCTTGAAAACGGTCAGATAATTTTTTTCCATTGTTATTACAGTAATTAGGCCTCATCTGACCAGTATTAAATAAACAGGTAATAGCATACTCTAAGATTACCTTATGATGACGTATGACATGTTTGTTTATTAGTATCATTTACTTGATTAGATGCATTAATGCATTTGTACTATATATATGTTTATATTTCTATTGCAAACCTGGACATTGTAGATAGTATTCGGCATTATATTTTCATTAACTGTCAGTGAAGTCGCTGTGGTATCCATATTGAACTCTAAATTCTGTATATCACTATATACAAGCACATTGTATCCTAGTATTGTGCAAGGATTATCATCAGATAATGTCAATTCCAGTGCGATTGATGAAGACGTTGATGTTAAGGAACTAATGGATGGTTTTCCGGGATCTGTGGGGATATCAATCAATCAATCAATCATGGAACTTATATAGCGCCATAATGATGATGATAATAATAATAATAATAATAATAATAATAATAATAATAATAATAATAGTAATAATATTAATAATAATAATAGTATTATTATTTATTATTATTAGTTATTAATATTATTATTAATTATTATTGTTGTTATTATGTAGTTTGTAGTAGAAGTAGTAAAAGTAGTAGCATCAGTAGGGTACGCATCAAACTCACTAAATATTTTGTTCTAATTGGATTTAATTTGCTACAGTACAACTCAAGAGAAAATGTTTGATATCTTCTTTGATAGTTTACTTACATAAAGAAATTTTGATTATCTATTTATTAAAAACGATTTTCTCATTTACCAATAGTGTATTTGATCTATCTTTAAAATCTAACCGAAAAAACAATTTTTATTCAATTTTTATAGTTCTTTTATCAATTATTCAATTGTGTGTGAATTTCAATTATCTTGGCCTTTCACATTTATATTTTTATATTATAGTAATCATGTAGTTAAGTTTAGTTTTCTGTCGCTCCAGGCTTACGTCATGGTGACTAAGTTGCTTTTGGGGCCCTAAGGCACTTGTCTGAATAAATAAATGAAATTTCATTTGATTTTTTTAAACATAATTTTTACTTTTTGATTCACTTTTAAATCGTTCCTAATTATAGACTACAGACATTAGGTCGGCTTCATTTATCTTAAAAGATAGAAAGCAATCAATCACATCACACGGTGTCAATGTCTTACGGAAACAATATTAATAGATGTTATAATTACCACTTTATGAGTATTATTTTACTTCCACTGGCACACAGATTGAAACAATTTATTTTACTGAATTACAAATACTTGTGTCTTAAATTTGATTATTAGTGTTTTATTTCAAAGTAAACAGTATACTGTAATGTGTATAATATATTGTCAAGCATTGAATTAATGGCATTTGATAATTTAGAAACAACATACAATATATTATAAAGGTAAGAAATGTAATAAACAATACACTATGAAAAATATTAACATGTTTCAAATAATATGTTCTTTGCATTCGTATAATGAAAAAAATCTTACAGTCAACACCAGACATGAACTCCATAATATCAGTAATGCTGCTAACATTCATATACGACGCAAAAACTGAAAATGTGTACTGAGTACAAGGTACAATTCCATCATCTATAAGAACTTCAGTTTTTGTTGTACTTCCTTGGAGGACTCCTCCTGATAGTTGATAATGGTAACTCAAATTATTCTGGGTGCTGTTACAGGTAGAAGCATTCCATTTCATTAATAAAAACGTTCCTTCCAGTACTGAATCTTTGGTGATTGAGGGTGCTGTTAAAAGACAACAATATTTATAATTATTATTATTATTTTGATACAACGGCTCCATTAACAATAAAAATTTTAATTACAATAAAGCAAAGACAAAATGCTAAGTTAATATACATTTTAACCTCTACATTACTACCACCTTGTTACTAAATTGATGACTTGTAGCAAAGAAACAAGCAGCTATCGTGAGTAGTTGTTGTCATCTGATATATATGTAACAGGTATCTGAAAGCACATCATGAGGCAAAAGTCCCCGTTAGCAGAAATGGTCCATATAGTGAGCTGTCTGGTAGTTGAGAGTGAGCTGTCAAATGGTCCAGAGGGAGCTGTTAGCAGCTCCATAAACTTAACTATAATTGGTTTTAAGAGTCCATTGGGAGTTAACAAGAGAGTCCTGGCCAGCAACATATAGCCATTGGAATGTAAACAAGGAACCCATTACAATCACTCACTTCATCTCATGGGCTTCAGTGGCAATAAATAATTTAAGAACCCTTCGCTATTCAACAAACCAGCAGTATGTATAACCCGAGTTTTTTTTCCAAAATCCGGGTGCCATGGACCAATTCTGTTAATGGCCAGATATGCAGCATGTGAGTTGTAAATATGATTTTATATACTATAATGGCTGATCGGACATTGTGACGTCATCATTTGGCCATCTGAATTTTTTAAAACTGAATTTTATCTAATATGACGTCATTTTTTAAAATACGCATTTGAGCGTATCTCGCTTATCCTTGATGGATTGTCTCCCAACTGTAAGTATGTTATAGCTTTTTTTTTCATTTTGATGATGTCATCATGGTAAAAATAAATGTTTTTTCAGACTCCCTCATCTTTCTTTCCTCAAAACTTTGATGACCACATAACATATCAACCATTCTTCATTTCTGAATCATATTCAGTGGGCATAAACTTCAGGTCAAGGTTGAATATTATGTACCTTATTTTTACGCTCGCACGTCTTAACGTGCACATACCTATCTAATGGATAATGGCAACGATTTCAACCTCCGCAAAGGGAGGTTATGAATGTATTCACAGTAAACAGTGGCAGAAGTTTTTTAGTTCCCGCCATATGCGGTGCCCAATTGTTTGTATTACCACCAGGCATTTCGGTGGAACAGTTTTTTTCTGTGGAGATCTCTATCTTTGGTTATATCCTAAATTATCCCTGAGTTGTAGATATGATTTTATAAATCATAGTGGCCGATTGGACATCGTGATGTCATCATACTGCCATCAGAATTTTTAAAAACTGAATTTTTATTTATGACATATTTATTTTTATACTCATTTGAACGTATCTCGCTTATTCTTGATCGATCGTCTCCCACTATGTTATAGTTGAGAAAATTCTCTTTCGGAAGTGTCCCTTCATTTTTCATTTTGATGTCGTCATCATGGTCAAAATGAATGTTTTTCTATCCTCTCCTCACCTATTTCATTATATCTTTGACATCCCGAGAGAGGGCAGCAGACTTGATATTTTCCTGCAGTTTGAAAATCCTGGCTACAGTCCGAAGTGACAAGTTCAAACCTAGACAAAATGCTAAGTTAATATACATTTTAACCTCTACATTGCTACCACCTTGTTACTAAATTGATGACTTGTAGCAAAGAAACAAGCAGCTATTGTGAGTAGTTGTTGTCATCTGATATATATGTAACAGGTATGCTTATTATACCCTATACCATTAAGTATTTAGTCTGCTGAATCTGACCTTCTACCAGTGGGCAACCTTGTGTGACCCATTAGATTAAGACTTTGGATAATAAATAACCACACCAAAACAGATGAGTCAAGGAATCACCTCATCCAAGTGGCGGGAAAGGGTTAATGAATATTTAGTATATAATGTTACAGAATGGTCCAGTTCATAAATGGACAAGGGATATTGTCTCTTCATGGTTTCTATTATAATTCCATTTTTACAATTAATTTAAGCTTTAAAATACTCATGTTACCTGTATAGCTTGATATATGACATACAACATTGTTCTGGGTACTGATCAATATAGTAAATGTAGATACCATCATTTGGTGTTAATTGTCATGGTTACCCAATTGAGAATGAATGACACTTACCGGTGCCTAGCCCAGGGCGAAGGTTTTCATCTCCTTCCGACTGGTCACTAGGTAAGCATTTATGTTTTTATTGGTGATCCGCTAACGTTAGCGGATCACCTCTTGTTATTGTCAGAATCTTTCTTTCTTTCTTTTTCTTCTTTCTTTGTGTCAATTTTTGTGACCTCTATATCTCAAGATTGCTTCAAGATGATATGTTCAACAATCATTAGTCTTGGGGTGGAATCGATACAATAAGCTTTTCAGCGTGACTTTATCTACGCGCATTTTTGCGTTTTACGTAGCAAATTTTTTGATTGATCATAACTTCACCATCGTTAGGCCTCTTTTGTTGAAACTTCACACAGGTATACTTCATGTCAAGTACTATCCACATGCACAGTACTGTCCGAATTGCAGTTCATTACGTGCACGTACGCTAAAAAGTAAATTTGCTTAAAATCACATTTTGACTAAATTTGTGTACGTTTCAGGTTATTCTGAGCATTTCAACTTTTTCAAAAATTTTCAGGTCGCGCGCGCATTTTCGCACGCACAGCCCGTGCAGATGATTCAAATTACAATTTTTGACATATTTTAAATTTCTTACACTGTAATGACATATTTGCATTCTTTTTCAATATATATTTTCTAATAATAGTGCAGTACACGCACATCTAAGATACGTGTGTATTTGCGCGTTTTTGTCTATTTTCAGTCAAAATGAGTCAAAATTGTACCTATTTTTAATCAGTTATAGTTCCTCAGGATGAAAGGTGACCCCCAATTTTTATTACATATTCTGAAAGCACATGAGTTGTACATATGATTTTATAGGTCATAATGGCTGATCGGATATTATGACGCCATCATATTGCCATCTGAATTCAACAAACTGAGTATTATCGATGACGTCATTTAAAAAAAATGCACATTTTTCTTTCGTCAAAACATTGATGACCCCATAATCACCTTAATCATTCGTGATTTCTGAATCCTATTTAGTGGGCATAAACTTCAGGTCATGGTTAAATGTTATGTACATTATATTTTTGTGCGCGCGTAATAACGCGAGCGTTCACGTGCGTCAAAATTAAAATATGCTTTATATCAAG